CACACCGGATCACGTGATACTACGCCACTGCTATTTCCGCGACCCTCGCCTCACGCTCCAGGACTGTCCGGGCGCGCTGTTCATCTGGAAACCTTACGGGCGAATCTGGACATTTGAGAGACCGGCAACGGTATATTGTGGCGATGCAATGAATGAATTGCTCGGCGCCCGACATCCCATTTAAATCTGCATCCCTTGAGCAGAATGCCAACACATTAGCACACTTAATTGCAGAAATACAGTGCTTCCTGAGCGGCCTGACCCTTGTGCCTCGGATGGACATTCCCGGCTCAATAGGTTTCAAACAATAAAGGGTTCATTCGCAGCTTTTGCAATGATTGCTGGTTCCGGTATATGACTTGGCAGATCGTATTGCGACAGTGGGAATAGCCGGTATCGAGCTTATAGTGCGTATGATACAACTGCGGAATCAAGAATCGCGGTAGTAGAGGTTCTGGTAACCTTGAATTTCTCTGCTAATGTTGAGTAATATTCATGAGCAGAGGTTAGCAATAGGTACTATCAGCATACCGACATCTTGCTTCTGCGATGCAGATTATGCTATGCTATTATTTGGCGATGGACGGTATTTGACGCAAAGAACCCTTTGGCATTCGCTTCCGATCGTTATTACCGTTGCTGCACGTCGCTGTTAACAAGTAACAAGCCCGCTGAGATACCGAAACTGTCACTAGGCTGGTAGCGCGCGTGCCTCACTGCCGGAAAAGAGGAGACGTACCTGCTCCTACTGCAGCTCATATTGAGAGTCCTACACATGTCAAAAACGCTGGTTAACAGGTCAGAGATGAGAAATCTTCATCGAGTTGAACGTGCAGGTGTCTTGGGAGCGCGGGGAGGGTGCGGCAAGCTTCATTCCTGCCGCCTATCAACCGGCAAGTTCTCGGCACGCTGCCCCGGACTTCGTTCTTCAAGTTCTCTAAGACTCAAGCCCATGCGCACCTTTGTCCCCGGAATTCCTCCCCATCCATTCTGATATTTTTTTGTCTCATCAAAATAGCATCTTCCCGCCACAGCTCAGCGCTCATCAAGGATTCGACCGTGTGGCTAACACAATAATTATATGGGAGTCTAGGACACCGAGGTCCATGATGGCAGTGACGAATCGACGATGAAGTTGTTGAAGGTTCACTAGTCACTCGCAATATTGACTGACGGAGCGCAGGTCATTGGAATATGTTCAAGTGAATAACGGAATGATCTCGCCCTGTCCTTGCAAGTTCGTTGTCGCTATCTGCCGTCGTCATCACTCTCCATCCACTCTCATCTTGGACCTCATCGTATTCCGAGTACTTTCATTACCATCCATTGACATCCTTAGGTCGAGAGCTCTTCATCACCGCCCATTTCCATGAAAATCCATTCCGCTTGATATTCACGCATCATCATGACTCCTTTCTGAATACAATATCAAGCAATTTCGTCAGACGTACTTGGTTACACGGTTAGCTTTGTTCGTCTAGTTTTCTTCTTGATCTGAATACTCATTCTCCGAAAAGAACTCCTGTATATTCGCCTGCCGACTAAGCGACTCCGACGTTACTTACGATAATTGATACCTTCCCCGAGCCATGACGATCCTGCCCCGAGGCTCTGGAGGCACGCAAGATATCACAATGGAAGAAGAGGAATCCGTAGCTGGGCAGCATGAAGAGTCCTCGTAGAGCCAGGAGCAGGAAAGACCATAGATGGAGTGCATGCTGAGCTTGACTGCCAGTTGTTGGTCAGATAGGGAGATCAATTCAACGTCCATTATCGTCCGTCCACACCACTCCCGTTCCATCCAGGGTCTTTTCTTGCTTCGAGCCATTTGTTGTCGACTCTGGTTATCACCGATTTCTATTCAGAATAATTTCAATAATTCCTTCCCGGATCTCACTTGAACGGGAAGATCAAAGACGATGCATGAAGTCTTGATGTATGACCGTCTTTCATCATTTTCTCCTCCCTTTGTTTCTCAATATTTTTTTCCGGTTATAGATACTTCCATTCGACAGAGTTATTTCCGACTGAGCGCTGCCCATACGTCTGTTTGGGATGAAGTCTTGACGATAAATGCATTTTCCGAGCTGCGGAGACCACATACGCTCCTTATCGCGACGCTGCGTCTGGAAAAGCGGCAAATTACCCAAGCCAATCAAAATGATAGGAAAAGACACGCGTCATAGACCGACGAGGTCCGTGCAGACTCGAATGCGATTCATATGGTCGTGTTATTGTGGGATTTCTAGTTATCGCCTTTTACACTAAACATTACGTTATTAGAAGTTATAACATACAGCTCTTCCAACTGTCGCTGGCATCAGGTCTCGGACTGTACAATCGTCTACAAAGGTTATCCCTGTGAACTGAGTTCGCATCTGGCTGACGAAGCCATCAGTTAGATAATTTTAGCATTACCTGAAGTCGGGGCATACCGTTTGGGTGTGAGCTCCGAGGTCATGGGCCTCGATCTGAGGCGTACTTGCTTGAAAGACAGAGAAAGGAACGCTGGTGGAAGGAGGTAAAATATTATATGGTGCGTCTATGGAATGCGTGGATTCACCGAAGCTGGTAGACTGAAAGGACAGTTTGGGATTGATCGTGTAAGGATTTTAGATATTATTCGGAAAGCTGTCCAGAATGTTCCACAGATTATCAAAATAAAATGGATTGTTGCTTGCGATGTGGTTGCAAAGCAGAGTCTCGCAAGTGCGAAGTTGTACCACGGGTGTCTGTAATCTGGGTTCGTGTGAAGACATCTAAGAGCGGGGCTGAGATGCGTACTTTTTGAACGTAGGCGACGCAATGCGTCTCGGGCTGTTAGTGTACAACAATGGAGACATAGTCAGCGTGTCCACACAAAGCGCAAGTAAACTGGGATGGTGTAAACATGACGCGAGCATGGATGAAGTTGAAAGGGAGCAAACCTGATTTAGCTCGGGAGATGGAGGGGGGATGAACCATGGGCAGCAGCAGGCAATAGTGTCCTCAGCCACATAGATACATTGTGCTCTGGAGGGTAATATTACGGAGAACATAGTGAGCTCTTTTTTGCTTAGCGGAGGGGATGGAAGTAAAGGCACATTTTAGCATTCTTTTATGGGACTAAGGAATCTTAAGAAAACACGTATGCACGCTAGTTCCTTTTTGGGTACAAGTCCACTTGCAACGTGTCCTTCACTTTGAACTGGTCGTCGTCGAAATACCGATACGATCGACCCTTAATCTATATGATCCGGCAAGTATCGTGATCGGCATTTCATTAAATTTTATTCACGATCGAGAGCATACGAGGATTGTGGACATCAGGAGCATCACATGACCCGGAGCCTATTTTAGCAATGAGGTCGGATCATCCTAGCCAGCTGCCGCACCATGCCGACATTTGTCAGAATAAAGGCAACGGGACGTTGGAGGATTAGTTCGGGACGTTTGAAATGGGGGCATCAGGACGTTGAAGGATTAGTTCGGGACATTTGAAAAGGCAACTTGGGGATGTTCATTGGATGAAGTTCAGGACATTTGAGGGGGGGCGAGGTTCGGGACGTTTGAAATGGGGGCATCGGGATGTTTGGGGGGTAGGGTTTGGGACATTTGAAAAGGGGACATCGGGACATTCATGGGATGAGGTTCAGGACATTGGAGGGAAATGGTGGGGACATTCGGAGGTGGGGTTTGGGACGTTGGAGGATTAGTTCAGGACATTTGAAAAGGGGCCAGATTCAGGACGTTTGGGGGGGTTGGCTTCAGGACGTTTGTGGACAGGGTTCCAGACATTGGAAGGTACAAGGTCAGGAACTTTTGAGGATGGACTTCACTGGACAAAGTTGGAGGGGGGGAGATGACTTGCGATGAATTATTAGTTCTAGAATTGGTTCATACACAACATTTCAAGTTCTGACATGCTACTCAGTGACTGCCAGGTCCAGACTTCTGGGTGTGAGGTACTAGGACCCTAGAACTATGTGCTTCAAAGCTTCAGTGAGCCTACCAGACATTGAACAAATGTGACATATGGTTCAAAGGTAAGTATAAGAAATGGCCTCAACTTCCAATTCTTCACATAAGCCCATATAAAAAGGATGGTAAACATCTTTGCATCTTTTCTCCATGAAACTGTTATTCCAAAATAGATGCCCCAAACTCCCACTCTCAAATGCCTTCAATTTTCAACCTCAAATTTCCGATTTCTACATTGAATATGTCCTCAGCTCTTCTTCTATAGAAACGTCCCCATCCTCAAACGTCCCAAGCATTTCCCTCCAACATCCAGAACCCCCACCCCCCAAACGTCCTGACCAGTTCCCTCCAATGTCCCGAACCTCATCCTATGAATGTCCCAAATCCCACCCCCTAAACGTCCTGAACCCTATCCCCCAAACGTCCCAAACCCTGCCTCCCCAAATGTCCTGAACTAATCCTCCAATGTCCCGAACCTCATCCCATAAACGTCCCCAAGTTGCTTTTCAAATGTCCCAAATCCCACCCATAAACGTCCCGATGCCCCCATTTCAAACGTCCTGAACTTCATCCCATGAACGTCCCCAAGTTGCCTTTTCAAACGTCCTGAACTAATCCTTCAATATCCCGAACCCTACCCCCAAACGTCCCCACCATTTCCCTCCAATGTCCCGAACCTCATCCCATAAACGTCCCCAAGTTGCTTTTCAAACGTCCCAAATCCCACCCATAAACGTCCCGATGCCCCCATTTCAAACGTCCCGAACTTCATCCCATGAATGTCCCCAAGTTACCTTTTTAAAGTCAAACGTCCCGATGCCCCCATTTCAAATGTCCCGAACCCCATCCTCCAAACGTCCTGAACTTCATCCAATAAACATCCCCAAGTTGCCTTTTCAAATGTCCTGAACTAATCCTTCAATCCACACGGGGACATTTCACACTAGAAAAAAAAGTAAGATGAACTTTCCTTTACCATGCCTTCAAAGTTCAGCAGCGTTGTTGTGCTTAGACATGGGTGTGGTTCTGGCCTGTTGTATTCAGTTTGCATGAAACAGCAATTGCAGGCTCGATAGGTTATGAAGCGGTGGGCCATCATAGGGCGTAGCAGATCCGAGTCCTGAAGATGGGTGGGCGGCACAAGATGCATTGAATGGTATAACGAAATAGTGATACTGAGCTTGTACCGACCAGCTGAGAAGATCTATGACCATCGCGACAAGGTGAGGAAGGTCCTCTCTAAGTGCGATAGAATACACGATGTTTTCCACCAACACAACTAGTCGCTGTACCCTGCGAAACGGAGTTTAGAATAAAGCGCGACAAAACGACACTGGTGATATATACCATCTCAGAATTCGGGTCACTGCTTGTGCTTTCCACCTGTCTCGTACAGCCCTCAAATATCGTATACCCTCTTTCGCAACGCCGACACCTGCACTGCATCCCATCTATCGCCCATAACACCCACAACGAACTCCGCAGTCCAAGGTATCATTAGCAAGTGAGAGAACAGCTTGGCGCCATACACGCTTGCTAAAACCATATCAGTCTCTAGTAGGATACACGTGTTGTCCTTGGCCGACATCTGCTTGCATGACTGCGTGGCAGATGATGCCCATCACACCGATGTGGAAGTTTGGGAAATATTCGAGTAAACAGAGGTCAAAGGCAGTAGTGTTGATGAAGCAGTGGAGGTAGACCTGTTGTTACGCATACAGTCAGCATTGTCAGCATCGACAGAGAGACATACATACCCGATGATCTTTGAGCACAATTTCCTTCGTGATTCTCCCTGTGTCTTCTTCAGCCTCTCATGTATATACTATTATTGGATGCCACGATCCACGGCTATCCGTAGCTGTCGCGCGACTACTCTTGGTTGGATATCAGGCGGCGGTGTAACGGTGGTCGAGTCGAATCTCATCGAAACTTACGCAAGATGAATGCGACAGCATAGTGGCAGATTTCATGGCAAGTGTATATGATTTGCTTCGCGTCTGGATTACACCTGCCTGTGAGTTAGCAAGAAAGTTGAAGCGAAAAAGAGAAAGGAACGCACCGATAACAAATCGACAACTTCATGCCGTCGCATTTCCCATCTGCCAGATCCTTCCACGTTCCTCGCATGAACACTTCCGGTTCGCACTGCACATTCACAATCGTCTCTACGCCTCCATGCATATATATGCTCTTGACGAAGTCGAAGGCCGTCTCATATTCTCCTTCAGAGTACTTTCAGCGATGCAACACAGACGTAGAGAGCAGATATGTATACGTGTCGATTCTCGTGGACTAGGAAGTCAACGCGTGCTAGAGGAAGCCGGGCATCATCAGAGCACGAGAAAGACAAGAGTTCTTATTCCCATTGTTCCTTTCCATGACGATGGAGCTGATCGTGAAGGGCCGTAAGTCGGAGGTGCGGAGGTGGGAAGCAAGTTACAGTATCTTTATGGACAGAATCGGAAGTTGCAGACAAAAAGGCATGTGTCGTCCGGACTTTGGCAAAGATTTAAGCTGCCATGCCCAGTGTATGGGACGCGTTATTGTTTCTCTGGTGAGGGCAGAGTTCATTGACAGGGTACAGAGAAAGAATGAAGCGAAGGCTGGGCGGTCGGACGATGCACGAGACAGAAGGTAAGATGTTCTGCTGTGTCATGCGCGGCTTGGACGTGTCTTGCAAGCTTGAACCTAGATAGACAAAAGTAATATTGAGTAAACAGTCGAGTAATAGAAAAGGCCGTACATACCTATGGACAGAAACCTTGAGAACGACGTGCTCCTGTTCCTCTGGAGACGACGGCGAGTCACTGTCCTCAATCATTCTCTGTATGCCTCTCCTTAGATCTCATCTAGGGGGTTAGGACTCGGTGATTTTCGCTCCCAAAGAAGTATAGTGTACGGCTGACACAATAGGCTGCTTAGAACGTCCTTCTGGGATGAGAACACATCCATTGTCGAAGCGTACGAGGCACGATCCTCGAACAGAAGTGCCATCTTGAGTGGGCGCATATCGATGGCTTTTCTTGCATCGACCTATGATTAGGAATGAGTACAAGATTCAGAAAGAGATATAAAGCTGACGCACCAGACTAAAGTAAAACTATCATCAGTAGTTGGAAAGCCGACGGGTCCCTTCAGGTCCCATCGCACTAGACTCAGGTCAACACGAATAGGATTAAACGCACTTGACGTGTCCAAATCCCCGGCCTTTGCAATCGGGTAGTGCACCGGTATGAAGTCAAGGCTTGGAAGCGTCAGGCCTCAGGAATGGAGCCGGTATCATGAAAGCAGCTGAAGAGAAAGAAGTATGGCATGGGAATGCACGACGTCCTTCCGGAAAATCGGTTTTACTTCCGCTTGCAACATATCCTTCTCGTTTTCTCTTACTTATGACAATAGACTTGGAATACAATAACCAAGAAACATGTAGTCTACAACACCCAACGTTGAACTGACAGAATATTTGGGCCGGACGAAACCAAGCCAGTGTTAGCCACTAACTCAAATCGACTTAGATCGTACTAGGATCGCTACTCGCACTTCGGTAGACGATACACTAGCAAGTCAAAGACGATGCAAGTCGATGGACACTTAGACAGAAGAACGGAGTTCGAAGTTAGGTAGAATAAACCTTAGCCGAAGCTGGGGTTTAGACCAGCTGAGGCTCTACTTAAATACACGTTGCGTAGGCTAAGAATAGTGCCGCAGCAATGTCCGATCGAAATCGCAGCATAGAGTAAGCGTGAATACGTAAGAAAAGGAAAAGAAAAGAAAAAGAAAAGAATAACCGAATAAACCGTAACATTACCCCCTCTCTAAGATTCGTTCGTCCCGAATGAATACTGACTCTCCCCACTCTGCGCGGACGGGCTGTAGAAAGACCAGGTATCGTCATCGTCGTTTTCGTCATCTTCGGAGTCGAAATCCCAGTTCTCGTATACTCTTTGTAAGTTTTCGAGGTCTAACTTGGAATCCTCATCGTTTGGTGTTTCTTCGATGATGGGTGTACCATCTGCTTCCTCTGCAGTCACTTCTCGCATCTCCATCGAGGATTGTGTATCGGAGTGTCGTGGGTTAGTGCATTCGGAGGAGTAGACGGTTTCCACGTCCGTGACACATGGGGTATCCGGGTCGTGGTATGGTGTTCGAGCTTCTCGGGGTATATTGTCGTCTCTCCCGACTGTTCTCCCGTATTTGTTGACTTCCCAATGAATCCGTTGGAGACGCGCCTCGTACTCGTTCACGAGTTCCTCTGCGTTTGCCATGTTGGAACGTTTGACCCAGGAGTTTTCCTCCCTCGGGTAACCCCTCCACTTCACCAGGTATTCTGTGATGGTGTGGCGAGTTCGCCCACGACCGACAACTTTGTCGCGCTGTTCTACTATCTCCTCAATTTCGTATTCTTCTTCGTCATCGATTAACTCCGGAGGTGGGCGTTCGGGACGAGGTTGATTGGGGAAGGCGGGATCCACATAGGGCGTCAATAATGATTCGTTGAAGCGGTTGTGGATCTTCCATTTGACTGGTAGTTTCAACTCGTAGGCCGAAGCCCCTTTCTTTGCAACGATTGTAAAGGGTCCGACCCGACGATCTCCGAGCTTCTTGGTTGGTCTGGGAAGGTGAAGGTTGGTCGTGTCGAGCCAAACCTTGTCTCCTAGCTGGTATTCGATGGCGACGGCCTTGTGCTTGTCGTAGGCCTTTTTCATGGACTCTGCCGCTTTTTCCAATGATCTTTTCGCTTCGCCTTGTGCTTTTTCGATCTCTTCCACCAGCTTTCCCGCTGCTGGGACGCTTGTTGTCCGTTGAGGCTTTTTAATGACCTCTCCGTCTCTTCCAAAGATGACTCGATAAGGGGAGTACCCCGTTGCCGAATGTTGACGATTATTGTGAGTGAAGGCCGCTAGCGGTAGCCATTCACTCCAATCGTCTTGTCTATCGTTGACGAACATCTTCAGGTACTTTTCGACTTCCTGGTTAACCCTCTCTGTCTGTCCGTCGGTCTGTGGATGATATGCCGTGGAGGGGTTCCCCTCGACATGAAGCAGTCGGTAGAACTCTTTCATGAATTTAGATACGAATACGGAACCTCGATCTGAAATTACCGTCTCGGGCATCACCCCATAGGGTACGTAGACGTAATCTCTTAGGATTTTGGCGAATCCGAGAGAGGTGAGTTCTTCAGTGCACGCTATGGGGATGATGGCTTTAGAGAACCGGTCGACGATAACGAGGATGGAGTCGTAGCCTTTGGAGTTCGGGAGTTTGGTGATCATATCGACCGAAATGTGGGTCCATGGGCGCACGGGTATTTCATTAGGATGTAGGGGGGCCCGTTTCGGGCGGCGGTCCGCCTTGGTTCGCTGGCAGACCTCGCACCCTTTTACATAGGCTTCTACGTCTCGGCGCATTCGGGGCCACCAGTAATCGCGAAGTACCAACTCCTTGGTCTTCTCAATTCCTGGGTGTCCCGCTGTGACGTGGTCGTGCTTGAGGGCGATGATCTGTCCTCGAAGGTTCCGATCCACTGGCACATAAATGCGTCCGTCGTACCAGAGTAAGTCCTGCTCACGGGACACCCCCTTTTCGTGGTTGAGGGAGTCCGAAATGCCCTTGTCCCAACGGCGGGGATCGTGTGTGGCGGCTTTGATCCTTTCGTGCAAGTCCTCCGTGGTCGGCATTATCAGGGCCCTAAAGTGTTCCGTTTTAAGGACCACGATATCCCGATTGTCCTCCTTTCCCTGGTCGTGATCTGCCCTCCTTGATAGAAGGTCGGCTTTGCGATTTTGTGCCCCAGGTTTGTGATGTAGGGTGAACTGGTACTCCGCTAGCTCAGTTACCCACCGTGCTTGTCGGCGGTTGAGTTTCTGAGGCTTGCGGAAGTACTGGAGATTGGAGTGGTCCGTCCAAATCTCGAAGTCTTCCCTTGCTCCCATGAGGTACTGTCGCCACTCCTCGAGCGCGATCATTATGGCCAGAAGCTCCTTGTCGTAGATCTCGTAATTTCGCTCTGTGATTGACAAGGCTTTGGAGAGGAAGGCTACTGGCCTCCACTTCTCGTCCTGCCACTGGGAGAGTACCGCCCCTACCGCTCCTTCGCTGGAATCCGCTTCTACCCGGAATCGCCCCTGATCTAGTGGAATGGCAAGTACCACGTCTTCCCGGAATAACTCCTTTAGTTTCTCAAAAGCTTCTTCTTGCGCCCTCCCCCAGTTCCATTCTTGTTTGCCGGTGAGAGACGTAAGTGGTCGAACGTGACGGCTGTAATCCCGAATGAATCGTCGATAGAAGTTACAAAATCCGAGGAAGGATTGTAACTCCTGTTTGCGACGGGGAGTCGGCCAGTCCAGTAGGCCCGCAATCTTGACGGGGTCCATACGGATCTTTCCTTCGCTAATGATGACTCCCAGGTACTCAGTCTCCTCCACTTCGAACTCACACTTCTCCGCTTTCAGGAACAGATTATTTTCTCGTAATATCTGGAGGACCTTGCGTACAATCCTCTTGTGCTCCGCCTTGGATTTGGAAGCAATGAGGATGTCGTCCAAATATACTGATACTTCACCGGCGGTGATGAGATCTTTAAAGATGTCGTTCATCATCCACTGGAAAGTGGCAGGAGAGTTGGTAAGCCCGAAGAACATGACGAGGGGCTCGTAGAGGCCGCGATTAGTTCGAAAGGCTGCCTTCCACTCGTCCCCCTTCTTGATGCGCACGTTGTTGTAGCCCCACCGGACGTCTAATTTGGTGAAGTATTTGGCCTTTTTGAGTCGGTCCATGAGTTCCCCGATGAGCAGTAACGGATAACGGTTCTTGATGGTCATCTCGTTAAGCTTTCGGTAGTCCTGTACAGGTCGTAATTTTCCATCCTTTTTCTTGACGAAGAAGAATGGGGAGGCCATGGGCGATTTCGAAGCCTGAATACGCCCCGTGGCTAGGTTCTCATCCAGAAACTTATCCAGCTCTTCCTGTTCCGTGGGATTGAGTGGATAGACTTTGCAGTCTAGGTTGGCGTTAGCGTTGGGGATTAACTCGATGGCATGGTCCCAGGGTTTACGTGGGGGAAGTTCGTCGAAATTTTCTTTATCAAAGATGTCCTTGAAGTCCCGATACTCTTCGGGTACTATCTCTTCGAATGACTTGGCGTCCTTTTTTGCGTTGGCTTGGGCGGCTAGTTCGTTAGC